GAGAATTCAAGAATTAAATGTTCGATTGCCATTGAAAATCGGTGAAGATAATAGTCGAATTCTTATCAATCGTCTCAATTTAGTACTCGAAGCTCATCATGCTGTACTTATTACAGGTAAAAGAAAAACATAAAAGTTACTCGGTATTTGTAGCTGAAAAGATTTTTTACACTTTTACTATTGCTAGACTAAACATATATATGACTTCTCATTTTTTTATATAGGTAGTAGTGGATCTGGAAAATCGACATTTCTACGAACTCTTGCTGGAATATGGCCATATGGATCTGGGACAATCACTTTTCCTATTGGTGATACAGTAGCCTTTCTTCCTCAAAAACCATATTGTCCAGTTGGTTCACTACGCCATTGTTTGACTTATCCATCAACATTGTCCTCATCGGATGATGATATGAAGATTGAACATCTTTTAAATCTATGTCAAATGAATAGTTGGTGTGATCGCCTTGACGAAATTCAAGATTGGTCACAAGTTCTTTCACTAGGTGAACAACAAAAGATGGCATTTATTCGAATCCTTTATCATAGACCACAATGGTTGTTTTTGGATGAGGCCACATCATCGTTGGATGAACAAGCGGAAACAGATCTTTATTCTATCTTAATCCAACAATTAATGAATTATTCAACTATTATCAGTGTAGGACATCGAAATAGTCTAAAACAATTTCATCAAATTGAATTGGCATTGGATAATGGACATATAACAATACTATCTTTATGATCGGAGAACTAACTAAAAACAATTTTTTTAAAATAACCGCATAAAATAAAACACAACAAAGAATGTATAAAGTCACTGCAGCTAAAGTTCACTTTTTAATTATTAGAATGTAGATGTGGGTGGTTATTAGTGTGTATCTCAGTAGACGGAGTTTGTTCATACGAAAACAAAAAAAAATATCTTTTACATCTTCATGTACGTTCATTTGATTCCTTCTAATCAATGAACTATGAAAAATTACTAGAATATCCTTTTTATATCAGGTTGTGGAAGAAAAAACTTTGAATTACAGTGTTGAAACTTATTTTTCGTTTTCTTCAAAATCCTTTTTTTTCGAGTGTACTATTTACGCGGGCAAACCTTTCTCATTAACGACTCAATATAGAAATGGTACTTTTTTTTATTACACCGCGGACACTTAGGGCTAGATCGTAATAGATCCTGATTTTTGAATTTCTCCTTTGCTGGAATAAAATTCTTAGATCTTTGATTTTAATGAGCGAGGTTTTTGACGACAAATTTGAGAATTTTTTGCAAAGTCTTTGTAAAAAACACCCGTAGAGAAATTCAAAAATCAGATTCTATTACGGCCTAGTTCTATGTGTACTCTACAATTTAAAAACCATCTCGACACGTTAGCTCGTATCCTCATTTTAAGAACCTTGCACACGTAAGGAGTACCTTGTGGCCAATGAATCTACTATAACTTATGAATAGTTTAGATATTTGGGGAGATATTTTATCCATCATCTATACTAGTCAAGATTAACATTCTCTGAAATTTTGGTTGAAGTCAGATGAAAAATTAAAGAGTTGATTTCTGAGAGGGTTTACTTAATGTAATCGTGTAGAAATTTGACAATAATGTAATACGCTGTGAGTGTGAGTGTGAACATGAGGGTACTCATTTCATTAACACCCAGACTGTAGAGATTGTTCAATATTGTCTTCTCAATGATTGATGGACTCGAAAGCTCTGAATTAAACAATCATAAAAAAAAAAAAAGAGACGAAAGAGTTGGATACAATCTGAAAGAGAGAGGTAGCTGTCACATTTTTAATCCATCTGCCTCTCTTCCTTCCTTTTCTTTTCGTGAGCACGTCATCATCGAGTGTCTTGTCACTGCATGCGTGCACATCAATCATTCATCATCTACATGACATTTTTTCTTGTTTTAAGAGATTGAAAATTGAATTCTTCAGTAGAATATTCCTGCGCATGGTTGAGTAGAGCTCGTAGAGTTAAACAGGGAAATATTTATATTCTATTCTTTGTACTACTTTTTATGAAAGAATTTCGAAACAAAAAACAGAAAAGGCTTTGAAAAATACATTTTCTTGTATGTGAATAAGAGCTGGATTTTTCTGTCTTGGTATTTGTCGTCAGATAAAATTCTAGACAGATAGAAACGAGCTAAGTATTTTGTTAATAAAACACGTAATTCTGCTCTTTATTCAAGAACCTATATGATTGTAGCAATGTTCAAACACCAAATATCGCATTTTATTATGAAGAGACATTTTATTTCTATGGATGATCTCCACGTGTGAAAAGAAATATTTGCAACTGCATGGCTCACTCATTACAATAACACTTTTCTGCTGAAGTCACTACGAATACATCATTATTTAGTGGCGATGACAACAAACACAACATCATCAAATACTTTTGTGATCTATCTGGCTCTCATGCAAAAGCAAGTGACTTATAGTCTAGTTGTTCCGCTAGTTCTAGGCTTGATGGGAAATTTGGCATCGTGTCTTGTATTTTGTCAAAAGCAGCTTCGTTCTAATGGCATTTCGCTTTTATTTACAGCTGCATCGATCTTTAATATAGTCGTACTTGTCTATGACATTAGTATGAGTTTGTATTCAGTGGATCATATGAGTCCTGATATATATTCAGTTGTTTTCTGTAAAGTACGTTTATATATTCGGCATATTTTATTGATGATTGTTCGCAGCTATATCGTACTCGCTTGTGTTGCCTCTTTTGCATTATCTTCTTCCCGAACAAGTTTACGTTCCTTATGTCAACCTCGTTATGTCAAATGGACTATACTTGCAGTTCCCTGTATTTGGCCACTGATCGCATTACATATGCCGTTCTTGACAATTATCCAAAAGAATCGATGTGTTAACATTGATTCTTATGTATTACCGTTTGCCATATATTTTTTTCTTATCGTTGGTGTATTTCCAGTACTTTTGATGACTTTATTCATTCTATTAACTATAAACAACTTACGTCTACTACACCGTCGTGTTCAATCGTCGATTACTCATCCAATGCGATTAAAATCACGTGATCAACAGTTTATACGAATGCTTTCGGCGCTTGTTCTAATGTACATTACGACAAATCTTGTTTATCCTACTAACGTCCTATACTTGGCCATAACATATTCGTTCGAGAAAAGTCAAGAACGTGTCGCTATTGAATCAGTCGTCTTTTCTGTGACAAGTAATTATGTATTATATATCAATAATGTATCACCATTTTTTCTGTTCGTTTCTTCATCAGCTGCCTTCCGACAATTATTTTCTCGTGCTGTCTACAAATACATGCGACATTTCTTGAGCAGAAGAAATCGAATACGACAATTACCGATCACTATTGTACCAACAGAACAAAACAGACTCTGACGAACTGTCTTTGGAGTGACTCAATTAGTTGCTTTGTCCGATAAAGAAGACATGCAGCAAAATTTAACTATAATACAACTAATTCCTTAAAACTTCCAACGACCCTTCATCATACATTGTATCTCACATCCAAAACTTCTAAAATGATTACATCAAACATAAGTAGTTTGTAAGTGTAGTATATAAATCATACTCTCACCCTCATCTCCAACCTTGTCATCTCAAGATAGACCTTACAAAAGTACGAGTACCATCTTGAAGTAGCTTAAAAAGTCACATTTCCTTTCCTTTTCTTTACCTGTTAAGGTTCGCCGCAAAAATTTATTTTTGCTACCGATCATTCAATCTCGATGAAATTTTTAGAGAATGTGCATCTTGAACTAGGCACCTCACAGTAAAAATTTCAGTTCTAGATAGTGAGTCTGTTAAGAGTTAGCTTAAGATGAAGGATCAAATGTAGATCTCTGTGTCCTGCATTGCTTCATCATTTCAAACGCTAGAAACCTTGGATTAGTTTTAAAATGTAGCCAAGATTTGACGCTACAACTTAACAGAGTTTGATTTTCTAAATATTATGTAGTTCGTTTTTGTAGAAAGATTTTCTGATAAACTATGAAACAAATGAAAGGCACACTGCAGAATAGTTTGACCATCACAATATATTAAACATAGAATTGAAAAGTCCAACTCTGTTAAGTTGCAAATTTAATCGTTTTCTTCATTTTTAGACCAAGCCTAACCTTCTAGCATTTACATTGACGGAGTTTTTTGAGTTTGGATCTTTTGAAAATCTCTATAATTTTACAAAAACACACTTTTCTGGAAGCCTGAGTTGATACTTGCCATTATTGTGCTGTTAAGATTAACGGAAATAATAAGAATACCGTCAACTTTTTTTGAATGAATACTTGTTTGAAATATTTAAGTTATGAACTTCCTGCGGATTTGCTGGCGATTTCGTAATTTTTTCATGAAACTCACCGATGATTCTGTAAGGAAGAATCGACTAGAATATGTTCGTTAATACTTTTAGTTGCATTTATTATATACGTGCTAATCTTTAATGAAAAAAGTCAGATCTAACAAGAAAAATACTTAACCTCATGTGTAGAACTACTACTCATAGATTTAAAATATACGGTATATAAAAGTGCGTAAACAGTTTTCGTTACAGAACCGTCTATAGTACCGAAAACGTTGTGTAATTCATCCATAACTATACCGTAAATGGATATACGTAAAGTCCCCATTTTTTAACCGTTTACCGCTGTATATGGGACGTTTCATTCGACCTAGGTTGTTTTGAAGCGTCCTCAGTAATTACTTTGTGCATTTTAATTTTTCTATGATTTTCTTTAGATTTGAAATTCTGCATAAGATAGTATACGATTAAATCGTCCAGAGTGCATGTCTTGTCTTGAAAGCAATGCTTTTGAGCGCACATGTAAAAAAAATACCACCAGATACTATTTTCAAGCGTTTCAATTCCAAAAACAGCATCCTTAGGCTCGCAAAGATACGACAAACATAAACTATAAAATTCTGTATGTATTGGTGCCGAATACTTTCTCTTTAGAATAGGATTTCATGGCATACAAGTTTACACAATCAATCAATCGCCACAGAAAATATTGGAGAATGCAGCTGAATGATTGAATATTTCTTACCCTTTTGAATTCTAATCGATAAGAAAAAAATATCTGACGAACAAAGTCAGGAGTTTTGTAGAACGAAGAATGGTATGCTACTTGGGCTAAAGGTAAAACTTTTGAAGTATACTTCCAAATTGTAAAAAAAAATAAAAAATAACAGTGTTCCATTCTTTGTGGACCATCCGTTACATATTAAAATCGTGCCCGTTTTTTTCTGAATACAATTCAGCCTTTTGAAATAGTGGTCAGATATTGAAAAGCTGCCTATTTTCATATGCAGCTCGTCTTTGAATATTTTTTCAGTGTTGAAACTAGAATATGTAATGTATTTTAACAGTCTATAATAAGTTCCAAATGTTTTATAACAAAAATGTTAGCAAATGATTTCCATGGTATCAAATATGGTTTCTAGTATCAGAAACCATTTTATTTTCTTCGAATTAATATTATGCTTATTCTCTCTTACAGTTGTTCTTCTTCGCTCATGTCAGGATTGAGAATGCTCTTCTGTTTAGAAGGAGAAAACAGCGAGCATTATCAATGTTGCGCATTTTCATTAATACCAGATGCTGAAACGAAATGTCGATTGGAAACAAGGTTTCAGCTCAAAGAAAGTTGTTTCTCGGCGAGAGAAAGGGACCAAGACAACCTTTTCGCTTTAAGCTTCAGTCAATGCTGCGTATGTATCTCGCTACGTGATAG